TTGCTGGCTACTGTATTTTTATGGGCTATGTCTTTAGGATGCGTGAATTTCTGAATATTAATTTATCCATCTTCCTCCAAAACTGCTATGCTCATAGCAACTCAGTGATCTTGGCGTGAGAATGTAAGACCACACTGAGAGAGGTAAAGTGGGTCATCTTTCTTCTTTTACACTGCTAGTATCTCTTTTCCCCAAATTTTCTCACTCTTTCTACTGTTTCTCTTGTTTTCCCAATAGCTGTGTACAGGTTCTGACCAAATCGACTGTGCATTCACTAAGAATGTACTGCGTTGCCACTACATGCTGGGCGTGTGAAAACCACTGAATATTGAGCACTAAGCAAACTTGATGCGGTGTCTGCATGTCCTTTACAATTAGCAAGCTGGTAGCACAGATCCAGAAAGTGGAAAAGAGGGAGGAGAGATGCTTTACAAGAGTCCTGCTCTTAGGCTCGGCGCCTGTAGCTCAGCAGCGAGGGCACTGGCCATGTACATAGGGGCTGGCAGGTTCAAACCCAGCCTGCCCTGCCAAACAACGACAACTACAACCAAAAAAATAGCCGGGCGTTGTGGTGGGTGCCTGTAACCAAAGAGAGCAGCCATTTTCCACATAAGGAGGAATTAGTAAGAGGGTAAAGTGTCCTTCCAGTTCTTTTTTGTGGGGAGAGGAAGTTTCAATGGAAATTCCCTTTCCTCCTAAGGTAGAAGTCTAAATGTGAGGAAAGAGAGAGGAGTTTCTGATATTAGCAATATTCCTTGTCATTGCTGAGTACTCACTTGGGATTGGTTATAATTAATTCATAGTGACACTAGCCTGCCTGGTTGAGTGATTTTTTTTCCCCCAGATTCAGCTGCATGCTGGACTGATCCAGAGATAGTTTTCCCCAGATGAATACACATATGACAGAGGAGAGGGGCTCGGGAATTGAGATATTTCTGAGAGAGTGATTATAATGTTTTATTGAACCTAAGATACAGAAGGTAAAGATAGGAGGGTATTAAGGGTAGATGGGATGGGTCGGTGCATTACAGATCTTGATGAAATTAAGATTTATCACTGTAAAAGAAATCTGATCGCAGGCAAGCTGTAAGATTTTGAAATTAATAATTTTAGTGGAGTGTGTAAATTTGCGATTTTGGAGGTAATGTTACGGTGATGAAAGGAAGAACAGAGGGAAAAGTTCATCAGAGATAAAGAATTCAAGAAATCGAGAGGTGACCCCAGGCAGCTCACCTGAGTGGATATTGAAATCAGGAAGTACAATGGCAGGAATGGAGATGAAAAGAAAAACAAGGCAAAGTGCTGAAATCTTTAGCACGTGGAAGATGACCGAGCAGTTGGCAGATGATCGCAGATGATGGAGCCAGATGGCACAAACCTCAAAGGAGCCGGGGATTTTTTTTACAGCAGGGGCTGGGAGAGAATAATTCTCTGGAAGTTGCCCTGGGGAAGCAGAAGCCATCTCCTCCTGATCCCCAGAATGAGCCACACGCTTGTGCTGCAGGGAAGCAGTGTTCCCAGTTAAGGCAAGGAGGGGGAGAAAACATTCTGAGAGGAGACTATTCTCTTAGAAGGAGGATAAAATTTGCTGGTAGTGCGGCCTTCAAGGTACAAGGTACAAAGAAACCAGCAGGTTTCTTTTATTATCAAAACTAGATCTTCCACTTGAGAGGAATGAGGGCTAGCTAAGAGCTTGTAACTCTCCTCCCTGTCCTCCATAAGTCACCTCCCCATCCCGTCACCATCACTCCGTATTTAGGAGGTCCCCTTCGTCATTTGCTGCAGGATAGTCTAACAGCTCTCCTTTTTTGAGACAGTCCCACCTACCCTGTCTGCAGTGTAGTGGCATCGTCATTGTTCTGGGGAACATCAAACTCCTGGGCTCAAGCAATCCTCCTGCCTCAGCCTTCCAAATAGCTGGGAATGCAAATGCTGCCAACACTCTTGGCTAATTTTTTCTATTTTTAGTAGAGACAGGGTATTGCTCTTGCTCACGCTATTCTCAGACTCCTGACCACAAGCAGTGCTCCAGCCTCAGCCTCCCAAAGTGTTAGGATCACGGACATGAGCCACTGCAGTCTGTAATATCTCACAATTCTTAATTTAATTCCCTCATAATATAGATGAAACCAGATTGAAATCCATCTATTTATTTCTCTCTCCCTGCCTTAGCTCTTTTTTGTTTTGTTTTGTTTTTGAGACTGACTCTCACTCTGTTGCTGAGGCTAGAGTGTCATACTGGGAAGATTGCTTGAGATCAGGAGTTTGAGACCAGCATAAGCACAACCAAGACCCAATGTCTACCAAAAAAAAAAAAAAAAAAGAAAGAAGGAAAGAAAAACTTAGTGCTCTGGGAAGCTGAGGCAGGATGAGGTCAGGAGTTCAAAATCACCCTGAGCAAGGTTGAGACCCCAGCTCTACAAAAGATAGAAAAAATTAACTGGGCATGGTGGCATATGCCTGTAGTCCTCGCTACTCAGGAGGCTGAGGCAGGAGGATCACTGGGCCTTAGGAGTTTGAGGTTGCTGTGAGCTATGATGATAATGCCAGTGCACTCTAGCCCAGGTGGCAGAGAAAATCCTGTTCCCCCTCCCCCAAAAAGTATGGGTTAGAGGGGAAGTAATGAAGAGTTGGCACTGAGTAAGTTACAGCTTTTATTCTGGGTCTGGGTGCAGTGACTCATGCCTATAGTCCTAGCACTCTAGGAGGTCAAGGTGAGTGAATTACTCAGGAGCTTGAGACCAGCCTGAGCAAGAGTGAGACCCAGTCTCTAAAAATAGCCAGGGGCTCAACACCTGTAGCACAGTGGTTAGACGCCAGCCACATGCACCGAGGCTGGCGGGTTTGAACCCAGCCAGGGCCAGCTTACCAGCAATGACAACTACAAAATTAAAAAAAAAAAAAATAGCCAGGCATTGTGGAGGGCGCCTGTAGTCCCAGCTACTTGGGAGGCTGAGGCAAGAAAATAGCTTGAGCCCAAGATTTTGAGGTAGATGTGAGCTATGACACCATAGCACTCTAGCCAGGGCAACAAAGTGAGACTCTCTCTCAAACAAAAGGAAAAAAAAGAAGAAGACATTCTAAACAGAGAAAACAACATATCTAAGGGCAAGAAACATAAAACATTGTGGCCTTGCCTAAGGAGTCTACCAAGAAACAGAAGGCATAATTGTTACGTCTACTGAAAGGTGTTTAATGAAGTAACCATTTTCAGAGATGTGGTCAAGATCAAGGATGCCGGCAAAGGTTCATGAAGCTTTCAAGGAAAACAACAGTGGGAAGCCTTTAACCACTTGGCCAGAAGATTCAAGGACAGAGAATGGTATTAGCAGAACTTGGTGACAGCCATAGTCATGAGAGAGGTACAACCCAACAGAAGCAGAGGAATGTAACAGCACCAAGCCACAGCCCAGCAGAGACAAGGAGGGATAAATACCCTCTTTCCTCCAGCTGCCAGCTGGCACCTCCCCCTGGCCACACCCTGCTGTAAGCCAAAGGGCAAGGGAATTTGGGAAAGCTTTCTGGGAAGGCCATCTTCCGGAGGCCTAGAGGATGGAGAAAAGACCTGGAGAGGCAGACAGGGAATCAGTAGTGCTCCTCAGATTCATATCCAAGGTCCAAACAATATCCTGTTTCTTGAACAAATACACCACAGGATATCTGTAAACAATATTGTAACAAGTCTGCTGTCTTAGCCAGTTTGGGCTGCTATAACAAATTACTCTAGCACAGGGGACTTCAATAACAGAAATTTATTCCTTATAGTTTTGGAGGCTGGAAAAATTCTGGTGCCAGCATGATCAGGTTCTGGTGAGAGCCCTCTTCCCGGTCACAGACAGCCATCTTGTTGCACTCACAGGGCAGAAAGAGGGCAAGAGAGCTCTCTGGAGACAGAGTCTCACCCTCTTGCCCTGTGTAGAGTGCCATGGCATCAGCCTAGCTCACAGCAACCTCAGACTCCTAGGTTCAAGTGAGTCTCCTGCTTCAGCCCCCGGAGTAGCTGAGATTTACAGGCACCCACCGCCACAACGCTCAGCTAATTTTTCTATTTTTAGAAAAGATGGGGTCTCCCTTTGCTCAGGCTGATCTAAACTCCTCAGCTCAAGGGATCCTCCCTCCTGGACCTCCCAGAGTGCTCAGATTACAGGCATGAGCCACTGTGCTGGGTGGAGAGACTTGTTTAATTATGTGATGGAGAAATTCTTAAGATCTGATGTCACCCAATCTTTCTATATGCCTGTTTTTAACCACAATGATGTAATAAT